TTGTATCTGTGTATCTATGTTACATCAGATTTACTGAAAGACATGCAAGGGGAGATGTTTAGTGAAATGTTATTTGGAGATACCACTTACTATGAAGGAGAATGATATGTTGATAACACAAAAGTGTAGCTACTACATTATAAGTTGTATTAATCCAGTTTAAAAACTGACTATTAAAAATGTTTTTTGGCTGGGTGCGGTGGCTAACACCTTTAATCCACCACTTTTGGAGGCTGACGTGGACGGATCACTTGAGGCCAGGAGTTCAAGACCAGCCTGACCAACTTGGTGAAACCCTACCTCTACTAAAAATACAAAAAAAATTAGCCAGGCATGTGGTACACGTCTGTAGTCCCCACTACTCGGGAGGCTAACACAGGAGAATCACTTGAACCTGGGAGGCAGAGGTTATGGTGAGCCAAGATTGTGCCATTGCACTCTAGCCTGGGTGACAGAGTGAAACTGTCTCAGAAAAATAAATAAATAAATGAATAATGTTTTCCCATAATTGCTTGAGTATTTCATAGGGCTAAGATTTTACAATCTGTAAGTTGAAAGTGGGTAAGACTGAGCATGTATTAGCAATAGCACAAGATAATTAAAAAAAGACTAAGTATGATTACAGATCATTCTGTAAACCGTTTCTAGAAGGATCGGCCTTCTTGTATTAAACAGATCACTTGGACTAGGTATTCAGTATGGTCTAGTCAGCAGTAGGTTCACTGCTGAGTGCCGAATATACATTTTGTGACCACTTTTTAGTACATTATGTATAATTAAAAAAACAGCTTTCATAGATCTCGTGCTCAGATTCTCCTTCCCTACAACCCATAAAAAGTATTTGACACTTGTAAAATGGTAGCTGCCAGCCAAGGCAAGATTCTATTTTTATGATAAGATTTTTGTGTTACCAAGCCAATCTTAAGACCCGAGAGGACTTGGAATTAAGGAATCTTTTAAAAGCAACATCTGTAACTTCATCATTTAGCACCCTTTGTTATTATGGTGCTTATGTATGCTATGTAAAATTAGGACTTGAGTATAAGATGAGTATGTTTTCCTGACCTGGTTGGTGTCTAAAGCCCTTCAAATAGAGAAAGAACCAGAAGATGAAAGGCCCTCATCTGTGTGGGAGGCAGGGAGGCAGGGAAATGGCAGCATGACACAATTCACAGTAAGAGTTGTTTACAGCACCAGTGAGATCTGAAGAATCTTTCAAACTTTTCAACCTAATTTTACTATGTATAAAATAGTGTTTGTCGCTAAGAAGGCTAACAAAGGATTTGCTCTCTCGAGTCCTTAATTTACCTGGTGGAAAACAATCCTTAAATATAGATTTAAAGGAAAAGACTCATTTGCATTTAAGGACTTAGTCTTCAGGACAGTACTGTTGAGCAGCAGGTTCAGAATTTACACAGAAGTCATATTTCCAATTTCCACAGTGCCTTGAAGGCTGCTATGAACTATATCAGTATCAGTAGCGAAAAGCTTGATTTGTTCTTTGAGTTATGTGGGCAAATGATAGGTTTTCCCCCATGCATAACTGTGATGTCTGTCCTGGCTTCTCCTTGGGAGAGGAGCATCTGTTTGGGTGCTGAAATATTAGTATCAGGCCGGGCACAATGGCTCACACCTGTAATCCCAGCACTTTGGGAGGCCAAGACGGGAGGATCACTTTAGATCAGGTGTTCGAGACCAGCCTGGCCAACATGGTGAAACGCCGTCTCTACTAAAAATACAAAAATTAGCCAGGCGTTGTGGTGCACGCCTGTAATGCCAACTGCTTGGGAGGCTGAGGCAGGAAAATTGCTTCAACCCAGGAGTCGGAGGTTACAGTGAGCAGAGGTTGTGCCACTGCACTTCAGCCTCAGCAACAGACTGAGACTTTGTCTCAAAAAAAAAATAATAAAATAAAATATTAGCATCTATTTTTTTAGAGCCTTTGAGATGGAAAGGGGATTTTCTTTTCCCTAAGAATATAAGCTACTTGTTAAATTAGTAAGATTGTATTTTGTGGGTTAGTACATGTGTGCTTGAAACAATCCCTGGCCCCACTACTAGATACCAGTAGGTCCTCCATTCTGCACACTGGTTGTGACAACCAAAAAAATGTCTCTACCCCTTCTTGAGAATTACTGCCTTAGATGCTCTGTTCAGGCTTAAATACGACACATAAAAGTGTTCAATTAGCAGGTGACTAATAATTTATGAGCATTGTTTGTTGAATTTTTGTATTTATCATGTTGGAAATTTAAATTTCCCTAGTCTTATTTGGAGAGTTTAACTTTTGTTTTGAACTACATATTTCAACCAACTGTTAGACATAATTCCTTCAGGTAAATTTAAGGGTAACATTTTTGAGGCAGTCTTAATTTAAAATGCCTGTTCCTTTTCTCAGCTTCTAGAAAACTTACGTATTTATGACTGACTTGAGCCAAGTGCAGTGGCTCATGCCTGTGATCCCAGCACTTTGGGAGGCTGAAGTGGGCATGTCTCTTGAAGTCAGGAGTTTGAGACCAGCCTGGCCAACGTGGCGAAACCCTGTCTCTGCTAAAAATCCAAAAATTAGCTGGACATGGTGGTGCATGCCTGTAATCCCAGCTACTTGGGAGGCTGAGGCAGGAGAATCGCTTGAACCCAGGAGGCAGAGGTTGCAGTGAGCCAAGCTTGCACCACTGCACTCCAGCCTGGTTGACAGATCAAGACACTGTCTCAAAAAAAAAAAAAAAAAAAAATTTATGACTGACTTGAAATGCTGGCAGTCAGCCTGCTTTAGACAGCATTAACAAAAAATCCCTTGGTCCACACCCTTTCTAAATTTAGGCATTCATTCAGAGTCTCAAAACTCTTGCCACTCAGGACAGAGTTGGGTTGCTCTTTCTGGGATGGGAGTAGATTCTGGAGTGGATACTTTACCCCGGCTTGTTTTTTGACCTTGAGACCTGGGGTTGGTGTTGTGAAGTTGTACATACATCACTACAAGTAATTTTTTTGTTGTAAAAAGTGGTCTCAAGACAGAGTTGACAAAAAGCAGGAAACGGAGAAAGGGAGTGAGTGAGTAATGAATAGAAAGGGAGGGAGGAGGAAAAAAATGTTTCTGTTTTAGCAGCTGAATGGGAAAAAGAACCCCACTGAAATAAGGTCATAGCTGACTTCTGAATGCTTCTGGACTTGTTTCTTGACATTGGCGACTTGTCTTCTAAGACCATTATGTGGATCTTCAATGGAACTCCTCTGTTACTTTGTTCTGATTCCAAAAGTAAAAAGGAACAACTGCACTCTTGGGGGATTTTGTTGAATAAGGTAATACTTAAGCCTGTGCTATCCAGAGTCACATTTTGGCTGAGTTTCTTTTGAGTTTTGCAGTCCTTTTTGCTCTCAGAATGTGCCAGGACTCCTCAAGTAGCTTAATTGCTGTAGTCATTCATCTTTTCCTTGAGGACCAGCTTTAAAAATCATTTCAATACTTAAAAAAATTTAAAGTGTAAAACTGTTTCGTTATAATAGAACTTTTAATTAGTAGGTTTGCTGGTTTCTGAATTGGTTGGCTATTTCCTGAGAGACCTGTCATTTCTGTTTTTCATTGCCACTGGTTATTATTTAAAAAAAAAATTTTAAGCCAGTCAAATTTAGCAGTGGGGGGTTGTATACCAACTTTAGTGACACTAATGTTAAGCCACATTTAAGTACTTTGACTCTTTGAAAACATTTTCAGCTTTTTTTTTTTTTTTTTTTTTTGAGACGGAGTTTCACTCTTGTTACCTTACCCAGGCTGGAGTGCAATGGCGCGATCTCTGCTCACCGCAACCTCCACCTCCTGGGTTCAGGCAATTCTCCTGCCTCAGCCTCCTGAATAGCTGGGATTACAGGCACGTGCCACCATGCCCAGCTAATTTTTTGTATTTTTAGTAGAGACGGGGTTTCACCATGTTGACCAGGATGGTCTCGATCTCTTGACCTCATGATCCACCTGCCTCAGCCTCCCAAAGTGCTGGGATTACAGGCGTGAGCCACCGCGCCCGGCCCCATTTTCAGCTTTTTAAGAATGGCCATGAAAATGAGCACAACTGTCCTTATTTTTGACTCGTGAAGAAATGTAATGTATTTAGAAGTAACGCCTTCATTATTCTCTTAATTTACAAGATGAAGTAAACAAGTTCCAGTGCTCCCCACCTCACCACCACGCCAGTAAAATTGCCAGTTGAAAATCCATTCCTGTCTTCTTCTTCTCCACTTTTGCTTTTAGTAGTATAAATACTCTAGTATGGTCTTTGTTACTCACATCACTTCTCAGGATCTGTGAGCCTCGGTGGGGGTGCCATTGTCTTGTTTGGGGTCTGTATTTAAATAAGACCTCAAACAAACCTTTTAGGAAAACAATACATCTGTCATCAGCAAAGGGAAAAAGAAACAGAAGTATCCTGCCTGCCTTCAGTCAACTTAAAGCCCTAAGGTTGTCAATCTGAGCCTTGGTTCTTAAGAGGAAGAAGCAGTGTTCACATATACCTGTTCCTGGTGTTATAAACCTAGTTTGCTTTCAATTTCTCATAATTTTTGAGAACAGAAAGAAGCCTTTACCATACCCCAAATACTATAGAAACCTTTCCATACTTGTAAATTTGCATTTTTCAAAGTAAGCTATAGTTTGCAATTCTTTTTTCTTTTTTCTTTTTTTTCTTTTTAGTCCACACAGACCATTCTTCAGGAAGTTTGCAGTTCTTAACATTCACCAATAAATATTATTATACCCTACTGATTCACTTTGTATAATGAATGTGCAGAACACATGGATATTGTAAATCATTTAAAAAACACTGGGAAAGTCACAAGGCCAAGAAACTTACTGTATACTAAGGAGAAACATTTTGAATAAATCAACATAGCTACATGCTAAATGGGGCTATTTTCCAGAGCAGGCAACACCATTTTGACCGACTATTGGCAATTACATATCTCCTCTATAATTTACCTTTTTATTTTCTTTCCCTTACAACTTTTAGGTAGAACTTTAGACTTCATAGCACTGAATTAACCTGCACTGAAAGCTGTTTACCTGCATTTGTTCACTTTTGTTGAAAGTGACCATGTCTCAAGTTCAAGTGCAAGTTCAGAACCCATCTGCTGCTCTCTCAGGGAGCCAAATACTGAACAAGAACCAGTCTCTTCTCTCACAGCCTTTGATGAGTATTCCTTCTACTACTAGCTCTCTGCCCTCTGAAAATGCAGGTAGACCCATTCAAAACTCTGCTTTACCCTCTGCATCTATTACTTCCACCAGTGCAGCTGCAGGTAAGCATATGAATCCAAGTGTCTTCTATTTCAAATGTTTTCTTACCCTGTTTTCTGATCTGATAAGTAGGTTGCAGATTTAGGGAGCTCTCACATTTACCTTTAGAAAGCAAAAGAAAGGCCAAAGAAGGTATCACCACCCACACTTCTTTATCCCAGATATAGAACACTGGTTGTGTAGGGAGTTGACAGAGGCCTCAGTTGACAGACCATTGTAGGTTGTGAGAACGAGAATTGGAAGCTGAACACTACTCAAAATGTAAAGCCTCATCTGTTAAAGAGTGGTGGCTGGCAGAAAGAATTGAGCAATAAATACCACCTTGGATATTCATCATTGCATGGAATAATTCTGCATTTAAAATTATTTTTCAGAACAAGTTAGGCACAGTGGTTCACACCTGTAATCCCAGTGCTTTGGGAGACCAAGGCATGTGGATCACTTGAGGTCAGGAGTTTGAGAACAGCCTTGCCAACATGGTGAAACTCCACCTCTACAAAAAAAAATATAAAAATTAGCTGGGCTTGGTGCTACATGCTAATAATCCCAGCTACTCAGGAGGCTGAGGCAGGAGAATTGAACCCGAGAGGTAGAGGTTGCAGTGAGCCGAGATCGTGCCAGTGCACTCCAGCCTGGGCAACAGGGGAGACTCCATCTCAAAAAAATAAAAATAAAACAGTTTCCTACAACTGACAAAGAACTCTTGTATCTGCATAAGCCTCCTTTATGAATGTCTTAAGATTTTATCCCAAGTTAGGTTAGGGGGAAGCCATATTTACTAGAAAGCAAACAACTACGCTGAGATTTATTTGTTTCTTTTTTTTTTTTTTTGAGACTGAGTTTCGCCCTTGTTACCCAGGCTGGAGTGCAATGGCACGATCTTGGCTCACCGCAACCTCCGCCTCCTGGGCTCAGGCAATTCTCCTGCCTCAGCCTCCTGAGTAGCTGGGATTACAGGCACGTGCCACCATGCCCAGCTAATTTTTTGCACTTTTAGTAGAGACGGGGTTTCACCATGTTGACCAGGATGGTCTCGATCTCTCGACCTCGTGATCCACCCGCCTCGGCCTCCCAAAGTGCTGGGATTATAGGCTTGAGCCACCGCGCCCGGCGATTTATTTGTTTCTATTTTGAACAAGTAAGTTTAAGTCTGGGAGGTTCCAGAAGTAGTTTAGAAATCATAATGAGGGCCAATTAGAAATGAAATAAAGAAGCAGAGTTTTTTCTCTTCTCCTCTCTTGTTTCCTTTTCTCTAGTTTGTTTCACAGGGTCTCCACTCTGTTGCCCAGGCTGGAGTACAGTAGTATGATTACGGTTCAATGCAGTATCAATCTCCTGGGCTCAGGTGGATCCTCTTGCCGCAGCCTCCTGAGTAGCTGGGATTATAGGTGTGAGCTACTGTGCCCAGATTTATTTTCTTGTTAAAATTCTCTGCATCATGGCCAGGCATGGTGGCTCACATCTGTAATCACAGTACTTTGGGAGGCTGAGGAGGGAGATTGCTTGAGCTCAGGAGTTGGAGACCAGCTTGGACAATGTGGTGAAACCCCATCTATACAAAAAAATAGAAAAATTGGCTGAGCATGGTGGTACATGTCTGTGGTCCCAGCTACTCCAGAGGTTGAGGCAGGAGGGTCACTTGAGCCTAGGAAATCGAGTCTGCTGTGAGCTGTAATTACATCACTGTACTTCAGCCTGGGAGACAGAGTGAGATTCTGTCTCAGAAATAAAAAAACAAAAAAAAACTTCTTTGCTGGCAAGGTGGCTCACACTTGTAATTTCAGTGTTTTGGGTAGCCTATTTATTTATTTATTGAGGCAGAGTCTCACTTTGTTGTTTAGGCTGGAGTGCAGGGTGTGATCTCAGCTCACTGCACCCTCTGCCTCTTGTGTTCAAGGGATTCTCCTGCCTCAGCCTCCTGAGTAGCTGGAATTACAGGTGCCTGCAACTATACTTGGCTGTTTTGTATTTTTAGTAGAGACAGGGTTTCGCCATCCACGCTGGTCTTCCAACTCCTGGCCTCAAGTGATCAGCTTGCCTTGGCCTCCCAAATTGTTGGAATTACAGGTTTGAGTTACTGTGCCTGACTGGGAGGCTAATTTAAAAATTAACTGGGCTTGATGGTGTACCTGCAGTCTCAGCTACTTGGGAGGCTGAGGCAGGAGGATTGCTTGAGTCCAGGAGTTCGAGGCTGCAATAAACTGTGATCGTGCTACCTTACTCCAGCCTGGGCAACAGACTGAGACTGACTCAAAGCTTAGAAGCATTTAAATCTGATTATTAGGAAAATGAAAATGAACTAAAGGTACTCTGCCAGATGCAGTGGTTCACGTCTGTAATCCCAGCACTTTGGGAGGCCAAGGTGGGCAGATCACCTGAGGTCAGGAGTGTGAGACCAGCCTCACAACATGGTGAAACCCTGTCTCTACTAAAAATACAGAGTTAGCTGGGCATGGTGGCATATACCTATAAGCCCAGCTACTCAGGAGGCTGAGGCTGGAGAGTCACTTGAACCCAGGAGGCAGAGGCTGCAGTGAGCTGAGATCATGTCACTGCACTCCAGCTTGGGCTACAGAGCAAGGATCTGTCTCAAAAAAAAGTAAAAGATTTAAAACACTTGAGGAGAAAAATACCTACAAATATTATAAATAAGAAACTAGGCTGGGTGCAGTGGCTCACGCCTGTAATCCTTGCACTTTGGGAGTCTGGGGAAGGTGGAACACGAGGTCAGGAGTTCAAGATGAGCCTGGACAAGATGGTGAAACCCTGTCTCTACTAAAATAGAAAAAAATTAGCTGGATGTCATGGTGGGCGCCTGTACTCCCAGCTACTCCGGAGGTTGAGGCAGAGAATTGCTTGAACCTGGGAGGCGGAGGTTGCAATGAGGTAAGATTGTGCCACTGCACTCCAGCCTAGGTGACAGAGTGAGACTCCATCAAAAACAAAACAAACAAAAAAACCCAGTATTGTTACGAATAGGAGACAGGGTCTGATTAAAAAAGAAAGCGGGGGTGGGGAGATGCACCTGCCGTGTCCATGGAGAGAGGCTGAGGTGGCTGAGCTTCGGCCTGAGGCACCAGGGTGCCAGGATGGCGAAGATGTCAGTTTCCTTAGTCCAGGCAACTGTCCAGGCTGTGAGCAAGAGGAAGCTGCAGCCCACCTGGGCCGCTCTCACCCTGACACCTTCAGCAGTAAACTAGATAAAACAACTTCTTAAAGATAAGGCTGAGCATGTAGGTGTAAAAGTTGGTGTCTGAACCAGGGGCTGTAATGGCCTTTCGTATACGCTAGAATATACAAAGACAAAAGGAGATTCTGATGAAGAAGTTATTCAAGATGGAGTCAGAGTATTCATTGAAAAGAAAGCACAGCTAACACTTTTAGGAACAAAAATGGACTTTGTTGAAGACAAATTATCCAGTGGGTTTGTGTTCAGTAACCCAAACAGCAAAGGAACTTGTGGCTGTGGAGAAAGCTTTTTAAATATTTGAAATCTGTGGACTCTTCTGGCCATAGGCTCCAGGAAAGCTCATGGAAGCCTTGGGGCTCACTGCAGAAATCATGTGACTGTCACATGCTTAATGTATGACTGCCTTGTAGGGGAAATAAAGTGATGGATTTTGAAAATGAAAACGAAAAAGCAGGGAGGATAATAAATTTAAACAATATTCTGCTTCCCAACACCCTCCCCGCAAGATGGCAGGACCAGTGAAATAAATGGGTTGTCAGTCTGAGTATTTCTATACCATAGTCACCTTATAACAATAGTCTTTTCATCCTCTTCCTTATGCCTGTTTGCTTTCAGTTTCCTCCTTTGTCTTCTCATTTCCTTTACTTTGTAAATCTGTTGTTAGAGTGTTTGCTTCTCCCACTCAGCTGCATGACATCTTCCACGCTACCTCCACAATTCCTTGGACTGGTTCACCAGATAGCATTCTTGATTTGTCATAGCCCTGTAGAGATGCTGTTTTCCCCATATTTGCCATGTGAGGCTCTCTTAAAAGACACAGACTGTTTGAGTCCTCTAGGATTTATTGCTTTTTCTTCTAATGGGTTCAGGTGTCCAAATCCTATTGACTTTGTAAACTCCTGCCCACCAAGGTCATTTTATTTTACTTATATAATTGTTAGTAATAGATAAGGTCTGAGGATAGCAGCCTTTGGAGAAAAGACTAGAGGATGCCCCAGGAATGAGAGTTTCACTGTAAGGAAAATGACAACCGTTGTTTGAGAGATGGTGATGGCATGTTGAGTTTAGTAAAATAATGGTCAGGGTACAGCTGGTAGCTGTTTTGGTAACCACTCTCTGTTCAGAAGACCTTGTATTCCCTTAGTTGGTTTTAATAGCAGTGCTTCATCTGATTTCGAATCTTGCTTGCCTACCATGGGTTAGTTACTACCCTGACTTCTCTCGTTTGAAGACACCCAGTCCTAGGTTACCTGGCTTCAGCTGGTTCAGAAAAGACCTCAGTTGCGTCTTCTCTGGGAGTGTACTCCTGGAATGATTTGCAGTTTTGCATGACTGCGGCCTATATTTGTGGACCTTTTGTTTTGTTTTTCCTCTATTTTCATATCCCTAGGAGAGTAGTAGTCTTATATACTGCTAGTTGACTTCAGAGCTCTTACATTATTTTTCAGTTCCTTCTAATGTGGCAAACACCATAGAGAGAAATCACAGTTGGTGTCTTGTGAATGAGTTAGTTTCAGCAAGGTCCAGCTTGAGTATAAGCTTTTGTGTGAGCAAGGTCCAGCACATTGTAAGGTAAATATTGTCCATATTGCTTGTGCGAAATGTTTTCTGTATTTTTTATACTCTTGAAACTGGTGCTGTGATTCAAAATACATATTTTCAAACTGATGAGATTATCTTAAACAAAAACTATACTTAGATAAGATTATACACACACACACACACATATATATGTGTGTGTGTATATATATATATATATATATACACATATACACTTTTTTTTTTTTTGTTTTTTTTTTAGATGGAGTCTTG